CAACCAAATCTTACCAATTGGGTTGGGTTGAATTCTTTTAACCCGCTGCTTGAAATAATAATTTACATATATTTATGTAAACTATATTCTGGTTTTTGTTCGAATAATATATAGATAACTATAGATATAACATTAATAAGGAATGAGTTTTCGTTGCACCTATATCGGGTATGAATGTGGGCGGTTTCTTCACTCTCATTCGTACTCGACATAAGTGCAAAAAAAATATGGATAAATGTGGATATTTTTTAAAAATTAACTATTTTCTTCAAATAAATAGTACCCTTTATTTTAAGAATTATATTTATTTGAAAATAATAGTGGGTGGAAGTGAGAAATTGTGAGGTGGGTGTCATTTCACTAGCTTTCTCCTCCATGTTCCTTTTTAGCCTAGAATCACAGACGTTACCTATTTTTAACGTGGCGATCTTTTATTAGGACACGTGGCAACGTATTAATGTCTGTTTTGTTTCTTACCGTAACCGACATGTAACGTCAACGCATGGACTGCCTAGTGCCTAACTTCACCCATCTGTCCCCTTCCTATTTTGCCCATTAATTACATAACATAATATTTACGTTAAATAAAGTATCCATTTATTTCCTTTTTATATATACATATACATACACATACATACACATATATATATACAGAGGGAAAAAAAACAAAAATAAAGTGCATTTCTCGACGAGTTTTATCACTAGAGGAAACGACTTTGCCTCTCTAGAAGAAAAAAGTCCCACACGAGGGACGATTGATCCCGTTAATCATATAACTGGAAGGGAACGTGTCATACTAGAGGTGAACGATCAAAGTTATCTGTTTGTGATTATTTAGATCTCGAAAACCCTATTTTTCTTTCGAGATGTCTTGTTTACCTATTATTTCACGGGTTTGAAACTTCATCGTTAAGTCTTGTATGTGATTATTTGTATCTCAATAACCCTATTTTCTTTCGAGACGTCTTGATTACCTATCATTTCACGCGTTTGAAACTTCACTGTTAAGTCTTGTTTGGGGTAACATTTTACATTTTGTTCTGGTTCAAATCTCGCTAGTTTAGGAAAGGAATCCTTTACCCTGTCGTACTTTTGACTTTTTTAACGGGAATCCGTTGACTTTGGACTCTACATACCCAAATAGGTTTGGACTCTTATAATTACCCTTTTTTGGCAAATTCTTTGTTGGTAGAGAGAAGACATGGGGAATGGTTCATATGAGGAAGCCATTGAGGCCTTGGAGAAGCTCCTCAGGTACACACCTTCAAAGGAATATACATAATATTTTTAAAAAAATGTATGTAATTAATTTGATAAAAGAAAATATTTGTGGTGGGTGCAGAGAGAAGGGAGATTTGAAAGCAGAAGCAACGTCAAAGGTGGCGCAGATAACAGCTGAATTGAAGAGTGGCGGAGAAGCAGCCAAGCCAAGCTATGATGCTGTTGAGAGACTCAAATCTGGTTTCATTCATTTCAAGAAGGAGAAATATGAGTAAGCCTTTTCTTTTCTTTTCTTTCTTTCTTTAACCACCCGCCCGAGCCCATCGCTCACCGCTAGTAGATACTGTCCTCTTTGAGCTTTCCCTTTCGAGCTTCTTCTCAAGGTTTTTAAAACGCTTCTACTGTTAAAAGATTTTCACACCTTTGTAAATAATGTTTCGTTCTCCCTCCCAATCGAGGTGAGATCTCACAATCTACCCCCTTTAGAACCAGTGATATGAACCAAGAGACATCAATCATACAATATACTTTAACGTTCGTTCTTGGATTGAGATATTTGATTAACAAGAATCATTAAAGCTAGACATGATCGATCTTGCTTGTAAAGTGATTCAAATCTCAAACAATGTTCTTGACTTGAGATATAAGTTCAACAAGATAATCCAAATCTTACTCCCCTTGTAGTGATTTCTTATCTTTATCACCCAGCTGACACTCATTCCCTTCTCCAATCAATGTGAGACCCCCCCAATCCACCCTTTCGAGGCCTAGCGTCTTTGTTGGCACACCACCTTGTGTCCACCCCCTTCAGCGCTCAGCCTCTTCGCTGGAACATCGCGCGGTTTCTAGCTCTGATACCATTTGTAACGGCCCAAGCCCATCGCTAGCAGATATTGTCTTCTTTGGACTTTCTCTTTCGAGCTTCCCCTCAAGGTTTTTAAACTGTGTCTGCTAGGGACAAGTTTCCACACCCTAATGTTTCGTTCTTCTCTCAGATCTCACATTTTTTTTTATTTCCCTTTATTTCATTTATTTAATTCTCTTTGGATTTCAGCAAGAACCCAGAATTGTATGGTGAACTTGCCAAAGGCCAAAGCCCCAAGGTATGATTTTTTTTTTTTTTTTTGGTTATAATTATTATTAATGGGACATTTAATTTGGTTTAGTTAATTAATTATTGTTTTTGGAAAATGCAGTTCATGGTGTTTGCTTGCTCTGATTCAAGAGTTTGCCCATCTCATGTTCTTGATTTCCAACCAGGGGAGGCTTTTGTGGTCAGAAATGTAGCCAATTTGGTTCCTCCATATGATCAGGTTTGGTGTTCATTCCTTTTCATCAACCTTTTTGGCTCCATTTTCCATTTTGATCGTGTTTGAATCTAAATTTTAGGCCTTTTTTTGTTTTTCATCTCTTGAAAACAGAGCAAATTCTCAGGAACTGGATCCGCCATTGAATATGCTGTTCTTCATCTCAAGGTATATACCTCGTTTTCGACCTTATACTTAAGTCGTTATTGTTTGTTTGAAGTTAATTCGTACCGAAGAACGAACCCAAGAAGTCATGCCTTTGGCTTGGGAGAGCTTTTAAATAGTAAAATTGGGTGATGAATGAATGTTTTGGCTGGTGCAGGTTCAATACATTGTTGTGATCGGTCACAGTGCTTGTGGTGGTATTAAAGGGCTCATGACCTTTCCATTTGATGGAAAATACTCAACGTAAGCACTTTCTTTGTTCACGTTATGTCGTCCAATCACAAAGACGAACCCATAATATTTTCGTGATTGAATAACGTGCTAAAGTTAATCTCTCATCAGCTTAAACCATTGAGTTAAGTAGTGATTTAACATGACATCCGACAAAAGTTCAAGTTATTAAGCTTTTGGGTTCAGTAGTTACTAACCGTACTCGATCTTAGTAACTTCATTTGTTTTACTTAAGCTTTTGAGTTTAGTGGTTACTAACCGTTCTTGAACTTGGTAACTTCATTTGTTTTACTTAAGTTTTTGGGTTTGGTGGTTACTAATCGTTCTCGAAATTGGTAACTTCATTTGTTTTACTTAAGCTTTTGGGTTCAGTGGTTACGAATCGTTCTCGAACTTGGTACCTCCATTTGTTTTACTTAAGCTTTTGGGTTTAGTGGTTACTAACCGTTCTCGAACTTGGTAACTCCATTTGTTTTACTTAAGCTTTTGGGTTCAGTGGTTACTAACCGTTCTCAAACTTGGTAACTTCATTTGTTTTGCTAAAGAACAGTAGTATATGAAAATCTCGTAAACGAGAACGGTTGAAAACAACCGTTAAAAAATAGTTATCCAAACATATTTGGACCCGAATTTTGCTCTGAAACAGATACTTGATGCAAAACAAGCAGTCAAGAGCAAGAAAGTGTATGATATTTGGGTACTAATTGTGTAAGAAACTGATAAGAACTCACATTTCCAAATGAAAACAGTGATTTCATTGAAGAATGGGTGAAAATTGGGTTGCCTGCTAAGGCCAAGGTGAAATCAAAGCATGGTGAGGGAGAGCTTGGGGAACTATGTACACACTGTGAAAAGGTAATAAAAATTCACTTTTGCAGTTAAAATCAAATGCAGATAGTAAAAATCTTTGGAATATCTAAACTTAAGGGAATGGTTGAAAGTTCATAACATGTTCTTCCATTTCTTTGTAAATGCAGGAAGCAGTTGATGTATCCCTTGGGAATCTCTTGACCTATCCATTTGTTAGGGATGGTTTGGTGAATGGAACTCTTGGACTCAAGGGTGGTCACTACGACTTCGTTAAAGGAACTTTCGAGCTCTGGGGACTCGATTTCAGCTTTAGTCCGTCCATTTCTGTATGAGCATCGTCTATTATCGACAGACCGATCTGGTTTTTCTATATATGATGTACTTTTCTTTGTGTAATTGCCTTTTCTGGTACATAAGTTGACAATAAATATGAGATGGAGTTCATCTTTCAATCATTTCTTTCGAGCAATCGGAATGATGCAGAATTTCAAGACTTTCTTCCTTGTTTTCTAAATAATCCAATGATTGAATCTTTTCCTTGGTCGAACACATTTCAGATTCACCAAATTCTAATAGTTTCAGTTCTTTACTTTTCGTCTTTCTGATCCGAATTACATTGGGAATGTCGGATTTTACGGAAGAGCATAAGAAGAAGAACGTAAAACAAATTGTCCTGACAAGAGGAAAGAAAAGGGTATTTCTAGCACCTTCCCGCAAGAAAAGGATGACTAGATAGACACAATCCTAAAAATTTTAGGTAAACAAGATCTTGAAAAGTTAGAACGTAAAATTTTATTGGATATGGTTACCGTGCAGAGACAATGCCGATACCATATGTTGTGGGAGTGAAGGACATGGTCGACAGGTATCGATTAAGCTTCTCTTCCTCTTAGTCCATAGAGCCTAATTTATGGCTTTTAAGAGTAAAATGGATGAATTGAGAGGTCTCTTTTCTTTTCTTTTCCTCTCGAATTTATGGCCTCCACCAGAGGAAAGGCTTTGCCCCGCTCAGGCATAGTTCACCATCTTTCGGGTCCCGATAGGCATTCTCACACTCAAACCCTTCTCAAAAGATTAAGGTCAGTCGGTGGTGCAACCCACAAAGGGATCCCACCAATCAGCTTCCTTGCACCTTACAAGTTTACTTGCCTGTTAACTCGCACATATTTCAGACTCCTTGGTCCGTGTTTCAAGACGGGTCGAATGGGGAGTGTGAGTATGTAGTAGGATTAGGCTTTTAAGTGTAAAATAGAACTGACGGGCCGATTAAACAAATTGGAAACTCGACAGCTAAACTAAATGTAGTAGGATTAGGTAGTTGTCTCGTGTGAATAGCCAATATTTTCTAAACAAGAGAACGGTGGAGGAGAAGAATCAACACTTACAAATTTTAGAGGTCGATATAACTAACAAATTTATCACTCATGTCTCACTATTCTCTCGAAGGAATTGGAGGTCTTTCATTTGAGCTAAAATAGCTTCTTTTGACAAAGGTTGTGGCTCAGGAACAATGGCAATGTCCTTTCCTTCAGCAATTCTAACAGCCTTTTCTTTAACAATCCTTTGAATCTCAGATTGCCCAACAGTTGGAAAAACAGAACTCAGCATAATCACTAGGAGTTTCTCATCATCTTCCTCTATTGGATCTCTTCCAAATGAACAAACATAAATGGCATCGAGAGCTTTCTCAACTCGAACCTCCATTGGTATTTTCGGAACAGCAACTTTTAGTTTCTCTCGTTTCTACGAAGGAATGTCAAACGTATAGAGTACTAATTGTTAATAGTTTCTAAGACGAATCAAACAATGACAGTTATTAATAGATCCAAAAGGTTATCAGAATCAACAGGTCTTTTTAGCTACTTTGAAGCATGATTCTAGCACGTAAGTGCGAAGAGTGAAAAGAGACTATAAATTTTTTAAGATCAAAGTGAAATCATGTAACAGTCCAAGCCCACCGCTAGTAGATATTGCTTTCTTTGGGCTTTCCCTTTCGGGTTTTCCCTCAAGGTTTTTAAAACGTCTACTAGGGAAAGGTTTCCACGCCCTTATAAAGGGTGTTTCGTTCTCCTCCCCAACTGACATGGGATTTCACAAATCACGGTCGTCGTTCCTAACAATTATTTCGTTTCAAGATATGCAACCAAATCTAATTCAGACATTTCAAGAATGAAAATAGAATAAATAGAAAAGTTGAAGATCAAAAGATGAGAATAGCATACCTCTCTAGCCTCGTTCATCATAGCAAGGAAAGTCTCCTCTTCAAATTCAATATCATCTGAAATCCTAAGCCTTGCTACTCCTTCCAAAATCTCCTCTGATTTAAGCAAACCAGCTCCCACAGCTGCCAGCCAACAGCACAATAGAACGAACAAAGGCTCTCCTGGCTGCCACAACCAAATATTCAACTTCAAATGTTATCATTTACCCTTAATTTTTTTTAAAAGTTCATGAATTATTATGTTTGGATCTAATAGGTTCAAGAACTTAAAAATATGTATAATTTTTAAGATGTCAAACATGATTCTGGATTTAAATTTTCTATGTAATAAGTTCACGTGTTAATTTTATATCTAAAAATTAACAAATCTATCCGAATTTTCGTGTCTAATAGAACATTAAATTTTCAATTTTATGTCAAATCGATTCATGAATTTTAGAAAATGTTAATGGGTCACGAACATATGAGACACAAGAACAAGATTTTAGTAATTTACTCAATACTTTTTAAAATTTAGAGAACTTCTAAACACGAACATGAAAATAAAATTTAAGAGCGAAAACTTAAGTTCATGAAAATTTAACCTTTTTTTTTTTTTTTTTTTTGAAGTTTTCTTTGGATTAAATTATAAGTTGCAAATTCGAATACAACATAATGAACACTGCACTTGACGATCTATTAATTTTATCTTTTTACTCTATAATTATAATCATTTATATATTATATATTCAGACTTGAATCTTGAAATTTGTATCTACTTCTTCTCTAGATTTTACAAATTTTTTAGAATTCATGAATATACTAGATCAGTTAATATTAAATTTAATAGTTCATTAGATATAGCATTCATACTTATATCTAATCTATCCATTAAAATTCAAATTTTTTTTAAAAACTTAATAGGACATAGATTAATTTTGAAGTCTTAAAATGGTAATCTATTGTAAACTAAAACGATTAAAATGAGACTTCCACGTTAACTCTAACAGTATAATTTAAAATATTAAGAATATATATATATATTAATTTGCATTACCTTGCCCCTCCGTTCTTGAAAGTCATAGAAGGCTTTAGAATCCATAATCGTACATTTCTTCCCAACTCGTCTCCGAAACTCCGCGAAATCGATAATGTCGCTGCCGACGCCGCCTTCGTCGCTCAGAATCCTCGCGATCAGTCCGACTACCGGCAGAGAACCGATCACCTTATTCGCAAATCCCGACAGAGAGTTCGGATTCTCCATGTAAGCCCTAACGGACAGCACTCCCGTCGAAGTCGGATGCCGGCGGCGGCCGACGGAACCATGGAATTGCCGGTGAAGGAGCTTAGGAGGCGAAATCAGGCTATAGAGGAAGAAGGATTTGGGATTGGAGTGGAAAGAAGATGTAGTGGAAGTTGAAGTCACAGCCATGGCTGCGAGTTGGGATTCTGAATTATTCTGACCTCTCGTTTATATATGTTATCCGATTTGGATCAGTATTTATTGCGTTCCTGATTGGGCCTTATTGGGCCTCGTTGGCCCATTGAAATTACAAGTCGTTACAAATAGTATCAGAGCGGTAGCTCTCTAGAGCGAGCTAGTAGACATGTGACGTCCGAGTAAAAGAAATTAACTGAGACCAAACCTAAATGAGAATGATCCTAATGAAAGAATAGTCGAAAAATAATTAAATAATCGAAGTTACTACTTATATCAACAAGGTACATGTGAGATCCCACGTCGGTTGGAGAGCAAGGATGTGATAACCTCTCGAGTAGATGCATTTTAAAAACCTTGAGGGGAAGCCTGAAAGGAAAAGTCCAAAGAGAACAATATCTGTTAGCGGTGAGCTGGGGCTGTTACAAATGGTATCAGGAGCTGACACCGAGCAATGTGTCAGCGAAGACGTTGAACTGCGAAGAGGGGTGCATTGTGATATCCTTTATCGATTGGAGAGAGGAACTAGTTGTTGTGAGGACGTTGAGCTCCGAAGGGCGGTGGATTGTGATATCTCACGTCGGTTGGAGAGAGGGAACAAAACCTAGTAAATACATTTTAAAAACTTTGAGGGGAAGCGTGAAAGAGAAGCCCAAAGAAGACACTATTCATTAGTAGTGGGCATGGGCGGTTACGGTACACTTTCATTTTTAGTGGCTTAATCATAAAAACTCCAAATTAAGCCTGAGCTTTAAGCAATTCTACGTCGGGCGACCTCTTAAAAAATTTTATAGAAAGCACGTAAGTCGAAATTCGACATATCAAGAGCTAAGAAAACTCTCTTCCACCTAAGCTTTTCACAATCTCCCTATAGGACAAGGCTTCTCTATGTTGGTGCTAATAGTAACAGCCCGAGCCTGAGTAAAAACTCTAGACTATATGAGAATAAGAATATATTACAAGAAGCCGTGTTGGTTTGTAGGCATAGTTGGTCTTATGATATTCACTCTTATAAGATACGAGAAATATTAAGATCATTAGTAATAAAAATTGCAACAATTATCTACGTTTACAATATTTTCATGAAATTAAAAGTTTATAGTAAAATTAAAAAAAAAAAATCTCCGTCTAAATTAGGTTTACTTCAATTTTTTTAATTAACAATTAATTCAAATTATTATTGTTATCTTATTGACTAAGTTATGCTTAAATTGACTGGACCGAATCGAGAATCAAGAAATGAGAATATATATCTTTTTTTATTTCCTTTGATGCTCTTTGCTAAAACGGAGCAATGTAATAAATTTGAGAATCTCTACCTTATAAAACGAGCAATCTTCTTCATTTCAACGACCTTTTTCATTAATTGTTTTTTAATTATTAAATCAAATAGTAATAAAATAAATTTAAATTTATCATTATTTTGATTAAAAGTTATATTAATCTATTATTTAGTAATACTATTTAATTAATTAAAATATTTAAAACCCCGTTTCTCAATAAAAAAAAGTGCGAACATTATCATTACTATTGAGAGATTCAGTTGGAGAGAGGAACAAAATATTTTTTATAAGGGTGTGGAAATCTCTTCCTAGGTTTAAAATCACGAGACTGATGATGATACGTAACGGACTAAAAAGGACAATATCTTCATAGTCAGTTAGGAGCGGTGTGCGAGTGAGGAAGCTTGGCTTCCAAGGGGGTGGATTGAGACACCCCACATTGATTGGAGAAGAGACCCAGTCACGGGTCACCAACAAGGACTTTGGAGCTCAAGAGGGGTGAATTGAGAGATCCCACGTTGATTGGAGTGGAGAGACAGTCACAAGTTGCTAGCGAGACTCTAGGCCCCAAGGGGGGTGGATTAAGAGATTCCACGTCGATCGAAGAGGAGAGATAGTCATGAGCCGCCAGCAAGGACACTGAGGCTCCAAGAGGGAGAATTGAGATATCCCACATTGATCAAAGTGAAGAACCCGTCACAAGCTGTCAGTGAGGACCTTGGGCCCCTAAGGAGTGGATTGAGAGATCCCATATTGATTGACGAGGAAAACGAAGCATTCATTATAAGAGTACCAGAACCTAATGTAACAACTATAACGGATAATATCTGATAGCGGTCTTGAGCTTTAATAGCATTCCAACTCATTTCAATTTAAATAGGCACCTAAATTCATAGATATTCCTGTAAACCAAGTGTTGGAAAGTCCCGACTAATTTAGGGAATGATCATGAGTTTATAATCAAAGAATACTCTCTCCATTAGTACGAGGACTTTTGGAGAAGCCCAAAGCAAAGCCACGAGAGCTTATGCTTAAAGTGGACAATATCATACCATTGTGTGGAGAGTCGTGTTCGTCTAACATGGTATCAGAGACATGCCCTAAACTTAGTGATGCCAATAGATTGATAAATCCTCAAATGTCAGGACTTCAAAAGAAAAGTAGTCGAGCCTCAATCAATCAAGGAGAGTCGTGTTCCTCTAACTGATAAGTCAAAATAAATAAATAAATAACACCTGGACTCCATTTAGTTGGTTGGTTCGCCTTTGCCTTTTGTTCCATTTATTTTCTTTTTTATTAACATTTATCACGTTTTTTGGCGGCACTTTTTCTCCATTCCTCTCCCTCTGGACTCCATTGTTCTCTGCAGAAAATCGAACGTCTCTCTCTCTCTCTTCGTCTTCTTCCCGTTCGTAACGAACCACAGCATTCACTTCATCTTCCATTTCCTTCGTGTTTATATATATATATATATATACATATCCTGTTTTGATTCTTCGTCTGTTCGTCGCTCGGAGTTTGAGGATTACTTTTTGGTGGCGGTATGGGGGCTTCTGTCATCGACGAACTGTCGCTCGCTCCGGTTCACAACTTCAATTCATCCTTCCAGGATCTCCGCTGCTCCAAGCACGTCCATGACAACGTTCACGGCAACATTTACCTCGATCCGGTAACGTATTTTTGTGTTTTGAGCGTAATCTGGAAAAGAAATTTATGATGCTTTTGGTTTTGTTGTGTAAATGTTGCGGTCCGGTGTGTTGAGTTTCTCGGAGTTGGAATTTGATTTGCGGTGTTTCTTCTTTCGTTTCAGCTTTCTTTGAAGTTTATTGATACCGAGCAGTTTCAGAGGTGAGTTTTTGTTATCTTGTTGTAGTTGTGGGGCGGTGGAGTGGAGTTATCACTTCACTTATGGAAAATGGAGGAGAATGTGAACTGGCTTGTGTATATGTTGATTTGTTGTTTATTATTTAATTGAATGTGTGTATTCAAAAGAAATATGAGGTTGAGGGCGAAAAAATGGTTAAGACGTGGCTTGTTTGGTAGTTCTGAAGATACTCTCCATACGCTGTAGTCTGATGAGTTGAATCATTCCTGTATTGCAGGCTTCGTGAATTGAAACAGCTTGGTGAGTTCTCCTCCTTGTTTATTCATTGTCGTGAATGTTGTAGCCGTATTTGTTTATCCAGGAATTTAAGTTCGCTACTTCACATGCGTGAATGTGTATTTAGGAGGTTTGCATATGCTACTGTCGGCTCATGAAGTGCGCCTAGCTGTTTTAGATCAGAAATATGAATGCATTTGGCGTTTGGTCAAATATTGCTTGGGATGCTCCTCAATATTCTAAAGTTTTAAGTTGATAAACAACTGTCACTGATAAGAGTTCGTGTTTCACTTGTTGTTCGGTTTGAATTTTATATATTGGCATATTTATGATAATTGTATAAGTAAAATTTATTCTTATTGATCACTACGAGTGAAGTACCAAGAACCTTTATATCTCAGCGATGTGGTAAGAAATTCTTACCGTGAAGTGCTTGTTTTAGACTGAAAATTTTCATGACAGTCACACGTTAAGGTCTGCCTCAAGTATTTTAAGCATAAATTAGTAGTTGTATTCAATGTAAGTTCCTATTTTCATGTCCTTGGAATCAAGCTTGTTACATGTTCAGGTTTGACGCATATGGTATATCCGGGAGCTGTACATTCTAGGTTTGAACATTCGTTAGGAGTGTATTGGCTTGCCAGGGAAGCTGTTGAAAAGCTTAGATATTACCAAGTATAAGAAGCTCCTTTTTGATATTATGTCATATATGCAATAGCTAATTTATGGAGTAATTTTAGAGACAATTTCTTATAGATGCCTCATGCCTTTATCTTGTAGGGAGCAGAGCTTGATATTGATCACAATGATATCCAAACTGTGAAACTTGCTGGTATTCATTTCTGTCTGACATGCTTTTTCTAATATATCTGTTGGCTTATTTTCACTTATTTGTTGATTTTTGCTTCCAATTGATCTAAATTCTTATGTTTTGTCTGTTGGTTTATTTATTAATTCTTTGTTAATTTGTAGGCCTTCTGCATGATGTAGGCCATGGGCCTTTTAGTCACCTGTTTGAGCGCGAGTTCCTCCCTCGGGTTCTGAGTGGCTATGAATGGTAACTGACATCTTCATTAAGGGTTGCCTTCGGTTATAAATCTGTTTTTTTTTTATTGTTACTGTCCTCTTTTCTTTTCTTTTTTTTCCCGAAGAATCACATACCTTGAATAGTGTTTTATCTGCATAGTTTTGTGCAGGTTATATATTTTTCCATGTACTTGATTGATTGATTGATTTTTAATTATAGGTCTCATGAACTTATGTCGGTTAAGATGGTTGACCATATTGTTGATGAGCACCACATTGATATTGATTCTGGAATGATAAAAAGAGTTAAGGTACACTTATATTTTACCAATTATTCTGTACTTCTTTCTGTGCATATAATTCTTGCATTGGCTACTAAGATGCATAAATAAAAAAGAGAGAATAAAATATTGGCCTACTGTTATGTTGCCTAACTATAAAGCACCGACACTTGTAAAATGACCAAGTGTAACACCAACATACTCCAACGCATTGTTGACACATATATTTAAAAAATATACACACACGTTTATAAAGAAATAAAAAATTAAAAGTATTAAATTTTATTAACATTGCAGGGTGCACACATATTTTTTTTTAAAAAATTAACATGTCCTCAATGTGCCATGTCCTTCTTTATTGGAAATTGACTGTTGCCGTGTCCATGTTTTGTCCTACATTTTTTTTGGTAATTGTTGTGTCGTGTTGCATCTGTGTCACATGTTTGTGCTTCTTAATTGCCTATTATGTTAAATACTCTAATGATTTAAGGTTTGATGTTGGTACTTGTTGACATTGTCAGGATATGATACTATCTAGTTCTGAATTTACTCGGCCAAAGGTAGTAGTTTTTATTTTTATTTTTTATTTTTGGGAATTCCTTGCTGGAAGAAGTTTTGATAAATTGAGTTAATGAGTTTTATGAACTGTAAGTACATTTTATGCGTGATAAATAGGGTTCAAGGGAGAAGGGATTCTTGTACGACATTGTTGCAAATGGACGAAATGGAATTGATGTGGACAAGTAATTGGTTGTTGATTTTCAAATTTAATATTTGATTACGAGTCTTCCAGTTGAAACATTAAAATTACTTTAGGTTTGATTATATTGTTCGTGATTGTCGAGCTTGCGGTCTAGGGTGCAACTTTCCGTTTCAGAGGTATGGTTGTACTTTGACTTTTATTTTTGTTGTGGGGTTGTGGAATTTGATTCAAGGGTGTATTGTTCAAGTGTTGTCTGTGCTTGCCATGCAGGTTAATGGAGACTATGCGAGTTATAGATGATGAAATTTGCTATAAGGCGAAGGACTGTTAGTATTATGAGCCGGATCTGTTTATTTGATTATAGTCGGCCTTTAAAGTTGTAGCTTATGAGTTGTGATATTCCAGATCTCACCATTCACAAGTTGTTTTCTACTCGGGCTGATTTGTATCGAACAGTTTATATGCACCCAAAAGTTAAGGTAAGAACGGAGAGAATAATACTTCAATCAAATTAATAATTTGTCTTTATGCTAATTCCTCCTTACCTTGCCAATGTTTATCCTCTACAAATTCTACCCCTATATAATTTTATTTATTTTTGATAAAAAGAAGTATAAAGTTTTCTTATAAAATTTTCTTCTGCACATGCAGGCCATTGAGCTTATGTTAGTTGATGCTCTGTTGAAGGCAAATGATTATCTGGAAATTTCATCTCACATCCACGATCCATCCCAGTACTGGAAGGTTTTGAATACTATTTATCAAAGTTCTCATGCTCGTGATAGTTTTTCTGTGCTTGTTGTTCACTGTGTTTCTCTTATTCTCTTAAAATGCAGCTAGATGATTCTGTAGTCAAAACAATTGAGACAGCTTCAGACCAAGAACTAAAGGAATCTAGGGATCTTATCTTGCAAATCCGGAGAAGAAACCTCTACCAGGTTCTGACCTTTTTTTCACTATTCCTTTGGACTTCAATGTTGCATAAAGGCAAAGTACTGTAGATTTATGTGGATGTATACAAAGTGAAGCTTAAACTGTTGGACCTTTCTCCTTTTCCAGTTTTGTAATGAATATGCCGTTCCAAAAGACAAACTGGAAAATTTCAAGGATGTAACTGCTAAAGATATTGTTTGTTCTCAGGTTTTCTTCTTAAGACTTTTTTTTTATCATGTAGTTTGCTTTGGGGTAACGAAGTAGAGTCTGAATTTTAGCATTGTTTGTGATATCATTGTTTAGAAAAATGGTGGAGTGATGCTACAAGAGGATGATGTTGCTGTCAGCAACGTTAGGATCGACTTGACACGGGGCAGAAATAATCCTCTTGAAAGGTTGTTGAGAAAGTCTAATAATTTTTTTTTTGGGGGGGTGGGGTCGTCCTGATGCAGTAGTTGTGATAAATTATTTGTTGCTAACTTGATCTTTCTTTTGCATGATTAATCCCAGGATCCATTTCTTTAAGGTACGTTACTTCACCCATTATCCTTTCGAAACCGAGCTTACGAGATTTTGTTATGTGAATCTTTGTCGTCATTCAATATTCTAAAATTAATATTATAGGTGACATAACATGATATCTATATAGTCAATGATGAACCAATTGGGGATTGTTCACTGGTATAGATATTTCTTGTCATGTCAACTTACATGTTACTGGACTCGTGTTGTTATTCTTGCATTGGTTGACGTTTGATTCCTCGGTTGGAACAAGAATCTATTTGGCAGGATGTTTTGTTTTGTCATCCATCTATTTGCTTTTTATAAGACTCAGTTTCACTCAGGACTATGAAAGCAACGATAAATTCAAGATTTCTGATGATCGCATAAGCCACTTACTGCCAACATCATATCAAGATATGATAGTAAGGGTGTATTCGAAGAAACCCGAACTGGTCTGTGTACTTTGATGCAAGTCTATTGTGATCGTGTTTTTGTTTCTGTTTCCAAACTTCAATACTTTTCCATATAATTTACAGGTAGAAGCCATTTCAGAAGCATTTGAAAACTTTCAGTTGAAAACTTATGGGATTAAAACACAAGTACACGCAACACCGGAGAAGAAGAAACGTCGCATTTGATTTTCCTGTTGTTGAGATTACTTAATACTATTTCACAAAAAAACTGATACTTCTATATCTTCACACAGACATGATTATGTAGGTTCGTGATTTTGACATTTCCTCCTGGAAGCTGGATTCACGAGGAATTGTACACGGCATACCATACCGATTTCAAACTGGTTGAGCTGGAGGATCTTGCCACGAAATAGTTTTTGGTCAGCAAGTCCTATTGTCAACCTTTTGGGACAATTGCTGAAGATTTTGTACCTGCGCAATGCCCAATGTCGCCCAGCAGCTTTAGTTTGTGAAACTATCTTTGACAAGGTTTTATTTGTACTTCTGTCTTTTTGAATTTAGTATTTTACATCTTTCTTGCTCTTCTCCTGTCTGTAATGCCAAGTACGCTCTATAAAGTCATGTCAATATATAACAATATTATCCTTCTACAATTTTAGTACTGCTTTGTGACACCTTTATTATTGTTTTGCATTTTTGGTTCTCTTAGTGAAGATAGTGGGGAGAGGGAAAATGAGTTTTAAGTTATGGCGGACACCTACCTCTCCTACCTAGGATTGAATATCTTAGAAGTTACCATGTCAACCATATAGATCTAGTAGAGTAAGACAATTGTTTGGTAAGAACAGTCGAGATGTGTACAAGAGTCAAGGTACTTGTAGATATGTAAAAAAAAGACTGGCGGGTTGGATTGGTAAAATATTCTAGATTTGAAGATTTATCTAGAAAATGCACGTGTTTTAATATGTTTGGGAAAGTGTAATAGAAGACGTATTTTAGATAAACGTGTTTGATAGTTAATGTAGATTATATATTTCTGTGTGGTGATGACTTTGGTGAGATAGGTGTGTTAGAGTGACCTTGTAAGAGTCCAAGCCCACCACTAGTAGATATTGTCTTTTTTGGGCTTTTCCTTCTAGGCATCTCCTCAAGGTTTTAAAAGGTTTTAAAACGCATCTGCTAGGGAGAGGTTTTCATACCACACCCTTATAAGGAATGTTTCGTTCCCCTCTCCAACCAACGTGGGATCTCACAATTCACCCACCTTCGGGAACCCTGCGTCCTCGCTAGCAGTCGATCTCGTCTTCAATCGATGTGGGATCTCACAATCCACCCCCCTTCGGAGCCCAGCGTCCTCGCTAGCACTCGTTCCTCTCTCCAATCGATGTAGGATCTGACAGACCTTCTATAGTCTCCCAAATCCAGCCTACTTTTTCCGTAGGTAAAAATCCTTACGAAGAAAGCTGTAAATATAATCTGATTGTGCCCACCATTTGTAATGTCGTAAAGGCTAAGCTATTAGAATTTTGAAGAACTTGCAGGTTTATGGAAAAGAGTGAATCTTGATGCATGGGAAATTCACGAGGCGCCTAAAATCTCAACCGCCCATCAAAGTCCAACCCACAGAAAACAGGTACATAACTCTTAAGCCCTGTGACTCTCCCCTCCCCTTTAATTTTCTTCTCTTTCAGTGCCCTCTTTTTAAGTCAAAAAGGTTAGGCGTCACGGGTCTTTTCCTTCTTTCGCTGCATGAAACAAATTACTTAATTTGCTCATTCCCATGTTTACGCTGTAATTTTGGTGCATTGCTGTAAATGGTAACTTTTTTTTTTTTGTTCTTGTTTACTCCCCTTTGTTGACTATACTTTTATTTGTTTGAAATTAAAATTTACTATACACTGTTTAACACTAGGAAGATAGTAAAATTATTCTAGGATGATAGAGATTTATTAGGCACAAGGTTAAAAGGAAGTTGAATTACAAATTTAGTTCATATACCCGAGATTACTTGAGATTGTTTATTTAATCTCTTTATTCTAAAATGTTTCAGGCATGATTCTTATTAGTTTTTGACATTAATATCAATGCTTAAATGTTGACATGCCTTATAAATTGCAGATACGACATACAATACTCTAGGGTAGACCAATTAGATCAAACCAAGTAAGAATTTTAAGTATACCCAAGATTACCCGAGATTGTTTATTTAATCTATTTATTCTAAAATGTTTCAATCATGATTCTTATTAGTTTTTGACATTAATATCAATGCTTAAATGTTGACATGCCTTGTAAAATCCAGATACAACATACAATACTCGAGGGTAGACCAATTAGATCAAACCAAGTAAGAATTTTAAGTATACCCATCTCGAGATTGTTTATTTAATCTCTTTATTCTAAAATGTTTCAATCATGATTCTTATTAGTTTGACATTAATATCAATTCTTAAATGTTGACATGCCTTATAAATTGCAGATACAACATACAATACTCGAGAGTAGACCAATTAGATCAAACCAAGTAAGAATTTTATCTTTGGTATTGCATTGAAAAATTGATTATTAGTCCAATTAGCATGTCATTGAAGGTTTAAGTAGAGATTTATTAAATTAAAGTTGAAGGTCAGTAGATGTTTATTGAAATCAAATATTGTTAAAGCTCCAACATTAGATGATAGAAATATTAGTTGATGCTTAGGAGCTCTTGATTAGCAAAAAATATTCTAGAATAAAGCGATAGAAAGATACTTAGAACTCTTGTACGGTGACAGAAATAGTGGCAAATAGAGGCTATAATATTGAAATGTGCAGATTCTAAGAATAAATATATATGACGAGAATCGTATTGCTCCCCACTGGAATAGCATCTTCTCATTCATTATTTAAATTTCAATGCCTTTTGTATTTTTTAGAGGTCACTTCCTTCACATCAATAACATTCTTTGTACTATCTTTCATTTGATAATATGTTAGAACATTTCTCCTTTTGACTCCTTTTTGGAGACTAAGTGGGGCTTTATTTTACCACAAACATTGGAGCACATTTCAGTTCTAGATTCTTAGATGATAATGGGAGATTCGATAAAATCTTACCTATGTTGCATACCTACCCGATAGTTATATGCAGTAAGCTGTTGTTGTTGCCTTTTGCTTACATGCCCATAGAACACTAATTTCAATTTCTCAAATCTTGCTTTCAGAACTCTCTTTCGAAATCTCTTTTTCTAAAACTTTCTTCTTGAACTGGGGCCAGAGACTTAAGCATACGTCGCTTGGCCATAGGCGACACGAGAACAAATAGACTTAACTCATTTATGAGAAGTGAACCTAAATATATTCACCGTTCATTGTTCGAAAATTTTGGATTTACAGCTTCGTGTTTGAGAAAGATCTTTATTTAAATATGCTGCATCTTTGATTTCTAGTCTCGTGCACCAATAGGATTGAGTTAGTTATCATGGATCGCTTTAAGAAGGCTATTTGTTTGTTATTTAGTTTATTACGGTTCAAGAATTATCGTCATCTGATAATATGTTTGGAAAGTTTGAACATTGAAATCCTTATTAAGAATCTTCTATTGGATTAGATGTAGATATGGTCACAACAAACAAATCATTAGAAATTGGTCGTCTCCGTTGTATATACATACAAATCTATCTTATGTTTTACATTCACATACATATAAAAAGGGTCACATAATAATTGTAAATGTTGCTCACAGGTATGCATAATATCACGACCAATCACAATATAGACAACCGATCACACAAACCAATCATGATTGTTAATCGAGGATTTGATCGTTGACCGAAGTTGAGCTACTAATCAAGTCATGATCAAGCTGCACGCGTGACTTAGATGAGTCATGCAACTATTGAACTGAATCTATTTAGAACAAAAAAAAATTTGAGTCAAATATGTTATTCATGATTGTTTATGGAACATGTTACGAGGTAAACGTCAGCATAACTTCTATATTCATGATATTTACCTATTTAATGTCATGAGACGCTACGACAATTGAGACTCGACACTACTAAGTGTCAATATTCATCAATTAGCGTAAAGTCTTTCAAACTTTCGGATATGCATCTCTAAAGTTTGTTGACTGAACAATGTCACGCCACAGTCAAATTTTGAAAAAATAATAATAATAATAATCTAACCTAAAATTTCCTTTTTAAAAATATTTATAATTTACAATTTTGCATAATAATTTAAAATTAGTTAGGATTTATATATATATATATATATTTTCCCCAAAATTAAAATAAACCCAAACAAATCCTGAATTAGTTATTTTCCTCCCAGCCTCGTAAATCCACACAAAATTAAAATAATAATTCAGCATCATTCAATCCCACAGCGTCCGTTTCAACTGTTTTCCCACATTCCGTGCACCTCTGGAAGACCGAGCTATAAAAAATAGAGGCAAATTTTTTTTTAACAAACTCCAAATTTACTCTTAAACGGTTAAAAATATCAATATTACACTTAAACTTTTTTTTTTAAATCTAAAAAAATATCCTTATTTTTAATTAATTATTTTTTTTAATAAAAATGGTTGATATTTTATTTAAAAAATATCATTGTTTTTAAAAAGTTTCATTAATACATCGGAAAAATACTCAAATTGTTGTTATTATGTTTTAAAAAAATATCTATTAAATTTTAAAAGTAGCTCGCTTTTATTAAAAAGATTCATACTCTAGTCGTTGTTATGAATGTATCGACCATCAACACCTCATAAATCATCTTCAAACCCTAAACACTAAACATTTTTCGTGCTCGTTTTCGACCCAATCCTCATCCACCTTGACTAATATATATTTACTTAGTTTATAAATATATATTTTTTAAATATTGAAGCTAAATTGTCATATTGAAATTTGAATATTTAGAAATTAAGTTAGAATATGATATTATTGTTTTTAAATAGAAATGGTACTAAAAATGGAAATTATTCATGAACATTTTTTTTAAAAAAATGTATAAATAAAATAAACTGAGAAAATAAATAAATTGAAAAATTTGCGATAATGAGAAATAAAATAGGAAGCAATGACGGAGATGAGGAAAATTTCTCTACTCTCGCTTCATGGACATCTCTAGTGAACGACCTTAAACTTAAGTTTGCTTGGTGGCTCAGAGAACGCCCCGTTTTGACTGTTTAACTTTGTTTTCATTTCTTTTTTACCTATTTGACTCTCGATTTTTATATATATTTTTTTACTAATTATTAATTAGACATAAATTTTAAAATTAAAAAAAAAAAAAAATATATATATATATATATATATATTATAATATTGTGTTTGTGACTTGACCAAAAGAACCAATAATAGTCCAAAAAGAAGAGGGGCAAGAGGAGGCGAAGAAACGGACGTGTATAAAAGAGATAGCGTTTGTTAGTGGAGAAAACAACCGATGTGGGACTGAAAAAACACTCGTCTTCTTCAGGCAAAATCCATGGAGAGAGGAAAAATACACTCACTCTTCTCTCTCTACTTGTGCTTTTCTTGTGCTCACTATTATTAATTTCTCTCGCTTTTTCCCCCTTTCTCTCTCTACCCAACCCAGAAATACAGTCACCAACGAACCCATCATCATTTCCAGTACTCGAAGGAGGTACAATCGCCTCTGTGCCGACGAATTTCTGTCACTGATTTTGTCCAATTTGAGGGAAATATGAAGGAAAAGAGTGAAACTGGAGGTGGGTATGTGAGGGCAGATCAGATAGATCTGAAGAGCTTAGACGAGCAGTTGCAGAGACATTTGAGCAAAGCATGGACTATGGAGAAGAACAAGAGCAAGGTAGACGAGGAAGGCGGCGGCGGTGGTGGTGGTGGAAAGCTGCCGATCACCAGGCAGGAATGGGAGATTGATCCTTCTAAACTCATCATCAAAAGCGTCATAGCTCGTGGTACTTTTGGAACTGTTCATCGTGGAATTTATGATGGCCAAGATGTTGCTGGTACGGGATTTTTCTCCCTTTACTCTGTTTGTTTAAGAATGAGTTATTGATTCTGAGAAAATTAGTTCATAAATGCATGGTTGAAGCCACTCGATATTGATTCTGTTTTCTTTGGTTTTTGTAATTGCATTGATCATATGAGGATTTGGATTCTGAATTTGGCGGAAGATCATATAAGGATTTTGATTTTGAATTTCTTTGGGTGATTGTTCATAAATGAAATGGGATTTTTCTCTTAGTTCTTAAATAGCTGAGGAATCGATGCCTTCTGAGAACGGATATGCCCTAAACCTGTTTGATATTATGCCAAAATGAGAATAAGCACTTTTCTGCTGCATCAATTGTTTGCAAACATGAAGTTTTTTCTGTCCTGTTTTGAATTTGATAGAACTAAGAGAGTTCCATTTGGGTTTCTTTTTTTTTCTTTTTGGAGTTATGGTCTCTTTGTAGATATTATCCTCAACAAAACACTGATTCACGAGATTGGCTTGAACAGACAGCTACTTGCATTAACTACTACACTGTTCTTTTTTTGGAACTTTTGTGTGTCCCCATTAATTGTTGACATGCACCCTTTTAAAGAACACAGTTGCACATAAAATTAGACAACGAAGAACACCAAAAAGGAATTAACTCGATTGCAAATGGGATTTTTTGTTACTTATTGATAGGTATCTGAATCTTTAAGTTGCCCAAATTAGTAATAGTTTTAAGCTTTGTTTTGTTGGGGCTTTTTCCCTTATTTTGAAGAACTTTTGGGGCATTTGTTTTGGCACTGCTTAAACAAAAGGTTGGTTTATATTTCCTCAGTTAAACTTCTTGACTGGGGTGAAGAGGGTCATAGGTCGGAGGCAGAAATCGCATCGCTTAGAGCAGCTTTTACACAAGAAGTTGTTGTTTGGCACAAGCTTGACCATCCTAACGTTACGAAGGTAAGATTCGATGGTGTTCTTTCTAGCTTGACTTATAATTTTAACGAATAAACCAACTTGGCATAAGAAAGCTTGAAATTATGAATGCTTTCCTTGTTCACTTATCCATTTCTTCATGGATCAGCACTTCTACTTATAGGTAATTGCCTTTAGATTCTATGACTATTGAGAAAATACATCTGATTCCATTCTTTGCATTTTTGTAGGTAGCCGTAGTAATAATTATTATAAGTTCTTTGTTATTGGCTTCAAATCTTTAAGCAAAGTGTCTTGAATCTGCAATGAGACAAGCTATGGGCTTAGTTGCCGATACGAACATAATCTCTTTTGGTGTTTCATATCTAAACGTACCATATTGAAGGTGTTATTTGTATATAGGTTTAAAAGATGACTTATGGTGTTTCATTAACTTTTTCAGTTTATAGGAGCAACAATAGGCTCCTCAGATCTACAAGTACAAACAGAAAATGGCCAAATTGGCATGCCGAGCAATATTTGTTGTGTCGTTGTTGAATATTGTCCTGGAGGTGCTCTCAAATCTTACCTCATAAAGAACCGGAGGAAAAAGCTGGCGTTCAAAGTAGTCGTCCAGCTAGCATTAGACCTTGCAAGAGGGTTAAATTCCAATACTGAATCTCTAGTCTTTTTTTGCGTTTCCCCACAGAGTTCCGAATTCTATCTGCAATTTTTTGTACGTTAGACTTGTGCTTTTAAACTCAAGGCGAGTACCATTTGTAGGTTGAGCTATCTTCACTCACAGAAGATTGTCCATAGAGACGTCAAGACAGAAAATATGCTTCTGGACAAAACAAGAACGGTAAAAATTGCAGACTTTGGCGTTGCTCGTGTCGAGGCCTCAAATCCCAATGATATGACTGGCGAGACTGGAACCCTTGGTTATATGGCTCCAGAGGTACATGCTTGAATTGCCTTGAATATTGAACTCAAACCTCTCTTCTGCTCTTGCTATATTGAATTTTATGCTTCTCACTAGTCTACCCTATTCGGTATCTTGAATCTCGTGGGGTTTATAAGCAAGGCTTTCTGATGGGGTTTTTATATCTTTATTCATAGTGTAAAATATATGGTGCAAATGAAAAACTAACTTCAATTAGAAAGCAGTGGCTCGATCCTTAGCTTACTTCATCTGGCTCTACTCCGTTAAGTCGCGAGGACGAAATCATTAACCTTTGAATCAATGAATATACGATTAGATTTGAATCAGTTAATGCAAAAACCTTTCTTTGTAGTTGGAAAACATACCCCATTGTAAAACTTGAGATAGGAATGTTCCAGTGGTGTGTGATTTGTGTGGAGTTTTGTAACAGCCCAAGCTCACCGCTAGCAGATATTGTCCACTTTGGCCCGTTATGTATTGCAGTCAGCCTCACGATTTTAAAACGGTCTACTAGGTAGAGGTTTCCACATCCTTATAAGGAATGCTTCGTTACCCTCTCCAACCGATGTGGGATCTCACAAGTTCGTTGAGCTGCTCTATAGGCTATGAGACTCGTTACACCTTATACGAGCTCCGAAAAGAAAAAAAAACTGAAAGCTAAGAGATTAAATAGGAGCATGGATTCATTTTCAACTTTTAGCATGATTGGTAAAAGCTTAGCCTTCTTTCGTTATGATTGCTGTTCAGTTTGTTTGCTAGGATAAATGTTCATCAGCTAGCCTTTTGCTTCTGGCTATCCTTCAAATCTGACATTGGGGATGACTTGAAACTTGACAGGTTCTCAATGGCAATCCATATAACAGGAAATGTGATGTCTACAGCTTTGGCATCTGTTTGTGGGAAATATACTGCTGCGATATGCCGTATCCCGACCTTAGCTTCTCGGAAGTGACTTCAGCGGTTGTCCGACAGGTCGGTTGAAATGATAGATCATATCTTTAGTTATTTGAAATTGTGGTTGAACTTTCTCCATTTCATTCTAATAGCAATAAGATCTAATTCTGAATAGACAATGTACCTAACTTTAACACAAGCTGAAGATGAAAGCTCATCTTCTCTGATTGCAGAATCTTCGGCCAGAGATTCCTCGGTGTTGCCCGAGCTCGCTTGCAAACGTAATGAAGCGATGTTGGGACGCTAACCCAGACAAGCGTCCAGAGATGGATGAGGTTGTAACCATGTTGGAAGCAATTGACACATCGAAGGGTGGAGGTATGATCCCCATCGATCAGTCTCAAGGCTGTTTTTGCTTCCGCAGGTACCGAGGTCCTTGAACGTGTTTACTTCTTCGAACAAAACGATGGCAGCAGCAATAATGCAACGTCGAGGATTCGGATTGTAATTTGTCCAATTGAAAAGGAACTGGAACTTGAGAATGAAGGGAACAAGTAGAGTGAAGGGTATAAGCTAGCTATATGCTTTCTTTCTTTGAAGCGATCCCTTCCCTCTCCTTGTGAAGAAAAAATGAGTAAATTTTTCCAGAAAGATAAAGGCTTCAATGTTCTTCTGTTAACTTGGATTGAACATTATTACAAAGCTTCGTTAATAATATTTGGGCAATGCTGTGGATTTTCTTTCAAGGAGAGTTCACAATTTCATCGCTTAAAAGACTTGGTTAGGGGTTCGGTAGGTCAATATGTGTGAGATCCCACATCGGTTGGAGAGGAGACAAAACATTCTTTATAAGGGTGTGAAAACTTCTTCCGAACGATGCCGCCTTTTAAAAACCTTGAGGGGAACCCTGAAAAAAAAAGTTCAAAGAGGACAAATGTGCTAGTGATGGGCTTGGGTGGTTACAAATTGTCAGAGACAGACACCAAGTAATGTGCCAACGAGGAGGTTGAGCAAGGGTGGGGACACGAGGCAGTGTGCCAGCAAGAACGTTAGTCAAAAGGGTTGGATTGGGGGGTTCCACATCAATTGGAGAAGGGAACGAGTGCCAGCGAGGACGTTGGGCCCTGAAAGGGAGTGGATTGTGAGATTCCACATCGGTTGAGGAGTGTGGCAGCAAGAACGTTGGTAAAGGGGTGGATTGAGGGGTCACACATCAATTGGAAAAGTGAACGAGTGCCAACAAGGACGCCAGGCCCTGAAGGGGGTAGATTGTGAGATTCCACATCGGTTGAAGAGAACAAAACATTCTTTACAAGAGTGTAGAAACTTCTTCCTAACAGACGCTTTTTAAAGACCTTAAGAGGAAGTTCGAAAAAGAAACCTTAAAAGAAGACAATATTTGCTAGAAGTGGGTTTTAGTCGAACTTGGATAAAGGTAACAAAAACATGAAGGTTTTTGAGTGTACCTCGAAACTTTTGTTTTCGTTGTATTTTCTTTTAATTAAAAGTGGATAAAGATTAGAATTTGAAGGCACGTGGTACATCAAAATAGGCAAGATTAGATTTTTTTTTCTCTCAATGATTTGAACTTTCAACTTCGAGAAAAAGTACATATCAATTATCGTACGATTCTTAAAACTACGATTGTGGGCCTTAAGACATTCAAAGTTTTCCTCAAAAGGGTTTATCAAAGAATCTATGAACTCATAACCAATAAGGCTGAATGCCAAATTAATGAATTGATTCACATGGCAAACTTCCTCAACCAGCAATCTTGTAGCTTGGATTCACCAAGTTATCCAGGCCAGACACTACTTTTATCGACTCTATAACGTCACCAACCTTAAGATCCGCCAAAAAATCCTCATTTTCGGTGACGTAACCGAACACGGCGTATCGACCATCCAATATATTAGCATTACTAGGAGTAAGTTCACTTTCCTTTAGCAGCCAAAACACCTGACTAGATCCTGAATTGTTATCAAATTCCTGCATGGAAAGCAATGAACAACATGAAACTGGCAGCTCATACAAGAAAGTGAGAGACAGACAGAATTATTACCTCTCTAGCCACAGCCATAGTTCCAAATGCATTGAAGGGAAGTTTTGTTTGAGCCTTGTATAGACCAAGCTCCTGTTTGAAACACATGATAAAACTAATAAGTAAAACTCGAGCAGAGAATCAAACTTCACTACGACAAAGTTTTTGTTCGTGCCTCGTGCAGACCCGGGTGGCTTAACTGAAAATTGTATGAAATGAATATGGCATACCTAATAAATCCCTAATAATTTCGGTATGCCTAAATATATAGGTGCAACGGCCCAAACCCACCGCAAACAGATATTGGCTGCTTTGGCTCGTTACGTATCACCGTCAGCCTCACAGTTTTAAAACGCGTATGTTAGGGAGAGGTTTCCACACCCTTATGAGGAATGCTTCGTTCTCCTCTCCAACCGATATGGGATCTCACAATCCACCCCTCGGGGCCTAGTGTCCTCGCTGGCACACCACTCATGTCTGGCTCTGATATCATTTATAATAGTCCAAATCCACCACTAGCAGATATTGTCTGCTTTTGCCCGTTACGTATCGCCGTCAGCCTCACGGATTTAAAACATGTCGGTTAGAGAGAGGTTTTCACACCCTTATGAGGAATGCTTCGTTCTCCTCTCCAACCGACGTGGAATCTCATAATAAGTCAGTCTGAATGCATCTTGAAAGAATAAAGAGGTCTTACTTCCAAAGTTTCCCCATAGAAAGGTGCTTTCTCCCCATCAACCATGATTTCCAATGGTATGGTCCGGGTTTTCTCGGTACTAGGATCGATGAAACCCTCTGCAGGACCTTCTGGATCACCAGTTTGAACAACGAAACCATCCGCTGCAAAAATGATAAAGATTTCGTGGCCTTGCTAAGTCATATTATAATATGAAGATGTCAAGTAGAACATGTTCAACAGAGTATAGAAATCTCTCATAATATTCATATTCATTAAGTAAATCTAGTCTTCTATATATATACCTCTTTGGATTTCCATGCCATCGTAGAAGTGTCGTTCGACCAAGTCGACAAAATTCCCAGAGCTTACGGGAGCGTTATAGCCATCTAAAACTATATGGAAAACGTAGTTGTCGACGTTCGGATTGTCCTTCACTTTAACCTTCATATCCACAGCTGCTCTCCCTTTCAATAGAGGCATATTTCTGTATTCCTCAGGCACTTCATACGGGAAGCCATCGACCATATCTTCTTCAACACTGCAGAAACCGAATGCCCCACGAAGATCTCAGCTGCAGTCAATGACAAGGGTATATATGAGATTATAATTTAACGACGATTATCTTTTCTTAGTCCTTTCTAACCCAATTTCGACATTAAACTGGTGTGTTGTTCTTAATTGTACGACTTCAGAACACCGATAGGACGAACATACATATGGATCAAAAGGCTTTCTTAAAGCTACTCTGAGTTGAGATGAAGAACCCGGACGAAGATTGTCGGGAATCGGGAAGTAGTTCTTACCAACATAATAAGAATGCAACCATCAGCATGGAGAATATGGCTATTACTCACCTGCCAACATAATTAAGAAGCTCCTTTTGTTTTGGCGCAACAGCTTCTCTATCTCTATCTTCCACAATCTTTTGAAGCTCATCTAATCCAACTTCCAGTTTACCAAGAACTTCAACTCCATGTTCCTTCTTCGATTCTGCCAACCCCGATACAATCAAATCCTTCCCCTGCTTGAGCGTTCGGGACGCCTGCCTCACATTCTATAGAGCAACAAAGAACATGTCTAAGAACCATTTGGAAACATTTTTTATTTCAAGGCAGAAAAACAGGCACAACAATCATATAACTTACCCTCTCCACAGAATCAAGTGCCTTGACTCCAGAAATTTTGAGGCTTTCAGAAATGTCTTCAAGTGGTTTTTGAACTTCCCTAATAGCTTTATTATTAATAGGCAAAGCATATCTCAACAAAGCTCCAGGATCCTTTATCGGCGGACCGGATATCAACACGGACAGGTCGGGAATTACAGGACCAGTAGCTGCATATGCGTCTGCAGAAGAGCCTAATGCAGGAACCCCTGTGATTAAACTAAATGCCAAAGCCGTTGAAATTGCAATCTCCTTCAAGCAAAATGGCCTGCTTTTCTGGTAAACAAAATATGAACTCATTCAACCATTTGTTGTTTATTTCTTAATTCACAAGTCAAATTCCAAATTTAATCATTAAACTTCAACGTTCGTATCCGTTTAATCACTTATATACGTGAGTGTCTAGTCTAGCTTGCATGCACCTCGACAATTCTTGTACGACAACTACCTGATCCTATTACATTTGGTTGTCAATGAAACTCATTATATCGGTCATTTTTTACCATTAAATCAACTCAGAGCGATTTCTAAACTTTAAAACGTTAGGATTACGTTCTTGAACTTAAACTGTGATCCTAAGTAGTTTTTATCATTTTCACTAAATGATAATGCAGCATGCTTATGGTGAAGAACTGGGCTAATAAGGCACCGAATCATCAAAGTTAAGCAACTAAATTCATAATTCAAACAAAATTCATATGACTTGAAGCAGAATTCTTCCCAGAGAAATTCAAATTTGCAACAAAATATCATACAAAAGACAAATCCAATCAATTACGGTAAAATCTCCACGCCATATTCACTCAGAGTTCAACAGGCTACAGCATTGGCAAGAACAAAACTCGATGCCATCAAATCGAACAACATTGCAATTGAAGAACGAGATCTCACCTTCGCATTCTGAAGCTCACATTTTATTGAATTGTAGGAGGACCATCTGGAGCCGAATCGTTTGGAGAAAGCGCCATTCCAGAGCTTCGAGGAGCGACAATGGCTGGTAGGTATGGAAGATTTGGAGGTAACAAGAGACGAACAGAACTTACAGGAGATAATGGTCGCCATTAACGCTACGTTAAACAGAATCAATTTGAACAGTGAAATAACATCAGGGGGTTGTGATCTTGTTTGTGGGGAATCGTTGAGAGAAAAGGAGTGAGTGAAATGGATTCGAAGATAGGGAAGAAGAAGATGGAGATAAGGTTTTTCGATTGTTTGGTGTATTATTCACAGATTGTGCGAGAAATTTGGTTCGAAGTGGGGTCTCCTCTTCACTCTCCGGATAAGATTGGGCACAATTACACAATTTAAAAACATTATTATTATTATTATTATTATTTTATTTTATTTTTTGTTTATTTATGCAAGTTCACGAGGCCGAGACGTAGAAGGATTTTCTTGAGGGTGTACACAGGTTGGGTTGAATTGAGTTGGGTTGGAGAAATCTTTTGGACTAATCTAAAGGTTCGAGTTGGTTGGGTTGATAACGGAGCAACCCGAATAGAATTCACAACTCAATCTAATATCGTTCAATCTTCTATTTTTCGGGTTGAGTTGAAAAAGTTTTTTGGACTAACCTGAAAGTTCAGGTTAGTTAGGTTGACGATTGAGTAACCCGAATATAGTTCACAACCCCAAATATTTATCTTGAGTTGAGTTAGATTTTTTTTTTTTTTTTTTTAAATCATCCTACTAATCTATTAGTAACATAGGACAGGATAAGGTTGAGTTGTAACTCTATTTTCGGGTTAACCCAATAAAAAATATATATCAACCAACAAATCAATCAACTCAACCTAAATCGAAAAAAATTTAATCCAACACAGGGTTTGAGTTGGGTTATTCAAGAATCTTTATGGTTTGAGTTGGGTTATTCGATAATTTTTATGATTTGAGTTGGGTTATTCGGGTGGGTCGAGTTTTCAAGTCATATGAATACTCCTAATTTCTCGGCCTCGGAGATGAAACCCAACTCAAACCTAAAAATTCTTGAATAATCATAAAAAGTTTGAAACCGACCAATAATAATATAATAATAAATTAGTTGTGATTGATTATATTGTATTATTGAAAATTTAATTTTTAGAAACTATATTGTTTGAATTAAAGCATTAAAATTTCTTTTTTTTTTTTTTTTTTTTTTTTTTTAAAA